GACAGACATTTACTTTTAAATACACTGACTTAACAAAAGCCAGTGTCATTTTAATTCACAAGGTTTGTTTTTGAGGCTGTGAGAGTTGAAGCAAAGCTAGTAACTAAATTACAATCAAATTAGTACCATAACTTTAACTGTATTTTTGCTTGGGTGTCTGTTTCCTTTTTTCGAAAAAACTATCTGGACACAAAAATACGGGATGTCTCCACTTGTTCTCAGTACAGAAGAATCTACAATATCTGTTCCGAAAACAAAATTTGCTGTCTGAAACATATTGTGACAGGCATACTTTCAAACTCAGCTAGTTTCTTCTGTTACGCAGAAAATCTAAAAACAGAAGATGCATGTAGTCAAATGGTTTCTCCAAAACATTAACAGTCTTTCTCAGGCAGTCGTCAGATAATTACAATTTAATGCTGTTTTCTTCACATTTTGCTAGCTATCCATTACTGTTGGTGTCTCACTGTTCACTTTTAAGTGACAATAACACGCTGTTTCATATGCTACAGCACCATTGTCCAGCCTTCACAGGATGATGGGACAGTCGCTGCAGTCACGTAGCACAGCTGAGCTACATGCACAAAGCAGGTCAGATTGTTGCAAACACACCAAAACTTACTACGCACACAAACAAGTTTTTGCCTATGTCTACGGGGCTATGGGAAAGAGAGTATTCAGAGCAGACTGTCGCTACCAGCACAGTTCACGCTCCTTCTCACTCCTTTGTCTGAGGGCCCTTAAAACATGATCAGGAAACTGTCTGCAGATGGATGACACGTTCTGATGTCGTGCCAGAAGCAGGCTGCCGCTGTTTGTTTGAGACCCTGACAGCCATCTACTTTCAAATGGCTGGATGTATGCCAGTCATACAATAGAAATGCCATTCTTTTCATGTGATCACAAAGTATTTTCATCATGCGATGCAGGAGGAGGTAGCAAGGTCCTCTTGGAATGATGGCAGCTGAAAGCAGGCTACTGCTGACAGAACAACCCATCCAGCTCATTCCCCACAGGTCACGGCAAACCATGCTGGTGGTACCGCCTGAGACACCCCAAAGTCATCTCATACTTTTAATCTGTCTGGGAAGCAGTTTTAAGAGAGCCCTGCTGAAAAACACATTTATGGTTAACTCTTCATGTTTCATTAGTTTTTCATTTGGTAGCACCATGACCTTTTCTTATTGCATACCTTATCCCCCTTCTCTCTATTGCATTCTTATTGCATACCTTATCCCCTTTCTCTTCAGGTTCATCTTCATTGAGGAATTCTCTTTTAGGATATGGAATCTGACAGCCAGCAAACACACTGAAACACAGTAAACAGTAAACACTCCAGAAATATGTACATATGACATATATTTATTTAATGCTATATTAAAAACAAGTGAATATTACACCATTTGATTTTTATTGTATTTCGTGAGTCCTGCTCCCTAAGTGAGTGGCAGTGTGAGCACCCAAGACAGTAGCAGACACCAGCAGCTAGGTGCTGATCATAATGTCTGATCTCTTTGCTGTTGGCGTGAGGCCATCATTTAGAAATCATGACATGGTTGAGCATGCCCAAATGCCAGAACGACCACTTGTGGATCCAGATGGCAAAACAAACACACACAGTGTCAGAAGTTCCACAACACCTAGGCTGGAACGTGCACAGCTCACTGAATAAAGGGTCTGATCCAAAGAGCATTAATGTCTTCTGAACCCACCTTGGCTTACAGCAGGCTTAAATATATTTGCCAATCAGAACTGCAGAGTTACTTTCAATTAGCTTCTCAAGTCTTTTGTAGAGAGAAAAAAAAGACAGCTTTTAAATTCAGCTGGCTAATGGGACTTGGAACATTCCTTAATGTTTATGGCAGAGACTTTATCATAATGTAATCCTGTAATCCACAGGGAGCCATGGCTCTACATAGGATACTATCAGACAAACACTAAATAGAAAATCACTGGCAGATCTTGACCAGTATCAATTTCTCAGGCTTCTGTGCCAGCATTCAGAATACAAGCAACGTGACATGATTTTTTTAAAGCGTGTACATAGTTCCCAATCTAGCTGCTATGTAGCATTTGGTCTAGCCAAACAGAAAAAGACAGACAAAAACCCCAACTAGCCTCAACTAGACTCCTTTTGCACTCCAGTGGCTGCTCCCTCCTTTTAGCATCGCTTGCTAGCTGAGGAAGCAGTGAAAGCAGGGGGGGAAGCCTCCCTGCACCCAGTTCCTACAGATCATAATGCTATGAACACCGTGCTTCTGAAAACTGGAAGAATAAAGTCTGCCAGTAGGAACGGAATATATCATTTGAATTTTTCACGACGATAAAATACATAGAGATATAAAATCTGTACTCTCAAGCCTTCTGAACAAGGGACCTGTGGGATTTTAGGCAGTCATAGGTCTCTCCACCTTTCTCTCCTCATACTGTTAGCATGTGCAAGAGGGCACGGGAAGGGGCTGTAGGGCAGAGACCTGTCGTAGTCCTAGGGAGAGGCACAGTGAAACCAGGCAGTGGGGAACAGGGCTCTGTGAGGCTGGGTAAGGCAGAACAGAACAGGGCACAGATTAATTCTCTAAAAACCACAATAATATTGTCATGCTAGCTTTGGTAGTACATTCAGAATTACAGCACTAGTGCAGTACTGGGTTATTGTCCACGACCACTCAGTTCTGGCACTAGGAGACACAGACACCTCGGTACTACACTAATAGTTTCTACTGAGCATGCCTGAGCTACTACTACTTGTGGATATATGTAGAGATCTGCATTTTTCAGCTGTCGTCTCATTTCAGGGATTAGCGTTTAGCAGAAAGATGACACTCCTGGAGAGCACAGAAGAGGGAATACGTACTCTGATGTAGGCAGAGGATCCTCTTGAAAGTAGGGGTCCTGCAAAGCCTGCTCTGAGGTAATTCTCTTTGTAGGGTCCATAGTAAGAAGCTTCTGAAGCTGCAAAGCATGAGATTAAAAATAGCAAAAAGGTTATCAAACTATAGTTTTTCAAACTATGACTTATATGTCTTGGACTGCGGATTGTTAAATTACTTGTGGCTTGTCCAGACAAGCCTAAGTTATCATTGCTTGTTCACCAAAGTTCCCAAGAACTAGACTGCACATCCATCAAAGCACTATGGCTGTGAAGCACTTCTCATGTAAGAAATACAGTCAAGTGTATCAGGCAATATTAATTGCTAAGGCTGAACCACTATGCTAAAGCAACACTGAATTCACCTATTACAGGTTCATAAAGCATCATCTCTAAATAATGGCATTTTGCTGCGGCACACGTATAGCTTTTATACTGTTCTGTACTGCTGACAACAGGAAATAAAGTGTCAGAAGAGACTGAACATATGCAGGACTCTCCATATCGCTTTAGAGACGGAAACAATAAATCTTCATTTCTCGCACTGGCGACATTCCAGAGTCAGAGCACTCTGCCACTCACACAGCTCCCAATCCTACCCTAATTGGCATTGAAATGAGAAAGACGAGGAGCAGACCCTTCCTAGTAACCTGTCTTCCTTGCTAGGAGGAAAGCAATAATAAATTTATTAGCTAGAATGCAGTTGACTGCAGCAGGCTATAAAAGAGGATTAATATATATTAGTAGTATAAAACAGGAATTATAGGCATAACATACCATTTTAAATAACTACTTATTTATCACACTCTGATGAACTCACAGTAGGAAATCTGGGTGGTTAAATTACATTGTACAGTACCCTGCTCTCACACAATACTCTCCTAATTCAAGTCCACAGTGAAACTAAAATTCCTTCCGCAAAGGGCATCTTAGCTCAAACTCTATCTTCTAGGCCTCCAACAATAACTCCCTGGATATTCAGCAAAAGAATATGGTTTTAGCATAGGCATTTGGGGATTTTTGTTCCAATAAATCAAAAATCTGATATACAGTTCTATATTCTATATCTATGGTACAGTAAACAACCTCAGTAAAAGCACTCATCCTGATCAAGAAAGGTAATTCCCTGGTTTTCCTTTCTCAATGGTTTTAGTTAACCCTGCTTTGTAGATGAGGTCTCACAAAATTCTCTGTACTTTTGACACTTCCTTCCCACCTCTCCTTATTTCCAGACTTTATGGGACATGGACAACACAACAAAGAGCCATTTGGGCTGTCTCTCCACCTATCAGTTCATTTGCAACCAGCTCCTGAACAGATTCCAGTCCAGAAACACACCCCAAGATGGTCCTGCGTTGCACACACCTGGTGAGATTACATGGCACACTCATTGACTGTGTTTTGTGTTGTCAGATAACCCTGAGCCCTACGTTTCCTGTGTATCTTAACAAATTCAGCTTCTAATGCTCTCTACACAGTAACCTCACATGATACAATAAATATAGACAACAGTTTTGGTATTCAGTATCTTTACTTCAAACCACCACATCTGCCTGCATGCACAATTTTTTGTCAGTTTTAGTGGCTTGTGGCACCATTACAGGTGATGCTAATTTCTTCTCCCCAGTTCCTCCACAGTGACTGCAGGGACGAAGGCTCAATGTTCTGTACAAGGCCAGCCCTGCTCTTCGGTACCGGCTGTCATCACTGACAGAAGAGCACAGGACACTAGCCTCTGCCCTGGACTCCCTCCTCAGAGCTGGCTGCTGCAGTACTACTCAAGAGAAAGCTCCTCCAATTTTCTGCCATGTAGCACCGTCATTGCAAGCTGCCTCCCAACGCGACCTGTATTCTTTGTCATTCAGAGATAAGGCGAATGTCCTGCCGCAGCAGACCTAAAGATATCTTGAACCTTTTAGTGACCCGCTCATTCCCTTAAGTAATCCCTCCCACCCCTGAGGATATAATCCGTTTGCCCATTCCAGGTGACACCACACACATCACTCCAAGTGAGACATCCTGCCTATCAGCGATGCTCCTGTGAACCAACTGTCTTTGACAACGTCTGGTTTTCTGTTGCTTCTAGGAAAGTGAATAAAAAATGTCTGGACACAACTTGCTTCCAGGGTAACAACTGCTAACACAATGTAGAAAGCCTGTGAGACTGGACTTCATCAACAGTCTTGTACTTTTCATCAGCTCTCAAGATTGCTCACTCTCAGGCTCTACTGGCCTGACACAACAGTTATAAATACTATGCTTGTCACTTTTCCAGGACAGCAAGAACAGATGCCTCTTCTTGGATGGTAAACATTCTGCCCTTCATGTAGATATTATCACTCAATGTCAATCAGCAGAGTGGCACAATATCCTCCCTCCTCTTTGTCAAGAGTCACTTGCTGTCCTGCTCTGGTCTACTTGATGCCATATTTTCTCTACGCACCACACTTTCTGTACTCATTAGCACAAACTCCTGACCAATGAAGGTTACAAAGTAGATGTCTTCAGAGGTCACCTTGCAAGTCAGAGGTTACCTCAAAAAAATAACATAACTATCTTGGATATGAACAAGAAGTTTTAGGGAGTCTGCTTCAGAATACATGCACCTCCAAGCTCATTAGCAAACACATTTCTAATCTCTGGATTTGGGAGAGCAATGCACATCTTCCCTTCAAGATCTGCTGGGTTTTAGTAACTTTCACAAGATAATGCAGGTAATGAGCCTCTTTGCTGTAGCATGGCTGTGGCAATTTAGGTACATGGACCTCCTCAGTCCAGCAGTGAGGCATCAAGAAGGTTGTCCATGTTCCTGGGCATTCATATGCAGAGCTCTGGGAGACTGACTTACTTCAGACCAGCCTCCATCTCTGTGGTTGATCACTAAACCACCCTTATTCATCCCTGATTACAAACAGTAAGAAAAATTTGACTAAGAGAACCTACCTTGTTAAGCAAACTAAGTCGTCTTCATGATGTTCAGAAAGAGCCCTTAGACTTTTGGAACTCTCAGTTCTCATTCTGACAATTATATAGGGGAACACATAGGTAGACACCCATGTCTCACTACTTCTCAATCATGAAAAGTTCCTTTGTTTATATGTAAAGATAAACATACATAATATGGCACAGGGTAGCAAAATATGGTTAGTTTTATATTCTTTAGAGATCTGGTTAATATTTCCCCCTGGAAAAGGAGCCTACCCACCCAAGATGACTGAACTTAGTGTTCACAGCCTTGATGAATTAGCCATATAAGCTGACAGCCACTCACTTGCTTCTTTGCCTCTCCACTAGGCTTTCTGGTGGCCTCCATCTTTAGCAGGAAAACAGGGAAATTCAGGTGCTAGCTAATGATGTCTCTTACAATTGCCATCTCTTCAGTGAGACTCTTCTTCCAGATGATTCCATTGTGTGTCCAATAAGTTGAGTTTAAGAAATTTTAATTATCTTTTCTTGAAGTCTCACACTTCTTAGGTGAATGCTTCCCTTCCACCCTCTTGGGACCAATCTCTTCTGTTTCCACAGCTACTTGTGTCATCATCCAGCAGCTACTAACAAGTCAAAGAGCAAATCTTTGCCCGGACCTAGAGAGAAGACTGCTATGCTGAAAACAGACTACTAGAGCTCAAGCTGCACTAACAGCCTCATTACAGAGAATCCCTCTTCACAGCACTAGCAAAGTCACTTTGAACTTCATTCTTAAATTTAGACAGCACTAAGTCATCACAGAGGCATTCACAAATGATGCTGTATTAGACAGAGCAACTCTGTATTCACCTACAATGAATGTCTCAACTAGGTAACCAGAAAACACATTTTTAGGGATATTGTTTGGAATCACCCACAGAACAGAGGTAGACTATTATCAAAGGGAAGAAAAAGAAAAAAAATCACTACAAGAAATAATTAAATTTCTCCTTTCCTCTTCCTCTTCTTCACAAAACTCTTTAGCTCTCAAACAACATGGAATCAAGGGATATATATAATCCCCACATTCCTATTTGCACAGCAGACCTAAGGGTAAGGCTGGGTATACAAGTGCCTTGCAGATCCTAATTAGGTAAGACAGTCAGATCTTCAATACCAGCAGTTCAAGCACACCTTCAGCATGAATTATATGAAGAAAACACATCTCAGAAATGGCCAGTTAGTGATAAATAGCTTTCTTTAGCATTGGTGTTCATTAGAACGAGATAGAAGAACAGACACAGATATTACCCTTATAAATGCATTTCATTCCTATTATCACAGTGATTTTCAAGTTGTACCTACCAAAAGAAAAACTTTGCTGTCAGGCTTGACTTTGTGTTTTTCCATGTATTTTATGAGGCTACTATTGGCATATCTGAAAAACACAGTTAAACAAAGACATTTCTGAAATAATACAGCATTAAGAACATGGAACTGTACCAAGTGCTCACAAAAACATTTACCAGCCCTTAGTAAGTAAACTCTAAAAAGAGCTATCAGAAAACATGTCAGATACTTATCTAGCAGTTGCTCGCATAAAGTGTGCTTTTCACTAACAGGAGTAGTATCAACTATGCACAGATTATCTCCATGGAACATTCAACTTTTATAATGTATGGATAAGCTGTTGACAGGGGCATATGACAGAGAAATTCTACTTGAAGTTTATACTCTAGTTTCTAAAGCAGCCCTGTCAGGGAAAGCGTACAGCAGTTTCTAACAGCACAACAGCTAAACTGTTGTTTCCAGTCTCAACTTGGCAGAGCAGGTAGTTTACCATTCTGTCTCCCTGAGCCCAACCTGCAGCAAACCATACAGTCCTTAGTAGTTCCCAAGCTCAAAAATGCCCCAAATATGTATGACATGTGCCTTGCCTTTAATTTACAAATCCAGCAGTTATCAATAGCTATTTTCAAAAGAAAGAAGCTTCATATCTTGTCTAAAGCCAGGATAATGAATCCACACCAGAGCCGGAAACAAATGCAAAGCTCCTGAATCCATGTCCTCTGCTTTACAACAGAGTCTCTGTTGCTCCTTACGCCCTCTGGTCTATCACCACCACTTGACTAGGTTAGCCAAAGCACCAGGAAACACTAAAAGTGGAAAATTCTCAGATCCCAGATAGGCTTTGCATCACAACCTCCTGAACACGTTGCCTTCCACAGAAATTTCTCTCCACTACTTTAGTGTCTCTGCGTGTCTGCTGGTCAAAAGGACCAGGCAGGTGCTTCCCTGTTCTTTCTCACACAAAATGAATGAAGTTATCTTGAACAGCTAATACAAGTGGTTTAAGCAAGCTCATTTATCCGTGCCTGCCATAGATTAAATGGCATTTACGACGACCCCTTCTAGAGAAACGAGGAGGTTGCTCTCTTGATGCTTTTAACAAGCAGTTGAGGGAGAGAACACCATTCAAGCAAAACAGCTGATTCGAACAGGAAAGCTGTCACAGCATTAGAACCCAAGCGCTCCGAAATACCCTCCCCAAAAAGTCGGAGGATAGGAGCCAATTTCTGCCTGTCTGCTACATTCACTGAACTGGTGTTGCGTTACCGTCACTTACGTTGTTCTCCTAAAATCTTTCTGAAGAGTTGGATATTCTGGCATCTTCCTTATGTCTTCCCAATCTTTATCTTTGGTGAGGGGGAAAAAAGGAGAAGCATTTACAATTCTGAAAGTGTAGATTAAGTAACACATGAGAAGAAATAACTACAGCAGTTGTTTGACTTTCTGTTTGCTGGCCAGTGCTATTGTTCCATAATCGTCAGCATCTCCAAATCCAAACTGACAGCTTCATCGTACCTATACAAACAACTAGTCATTTCCTTTAGGAAAAAAAAAAAAAATCTACTCAACAGCATTACATCTGATGCTTTAATGAAAATAAATTACCTGCAGGGAATCCCATTACACTGAAAATGCGATCTAGCTGATCGTGATGAAAAGGATTACTTGTTTTGATGTCCTCCTGACGACAGTGAAATATAGGTTCTGAAGTCAATAGTTCAGCAAATATGCAGCCAATTGCCCAAATATCTAAGAAAGAAGGAGGATAATTCATGCAAATTTACTGTACTTCATCATTCTGGTTTTTGTTTCTGCACAATTTCTCAACAACCTGTATAACCACAGTAAGATAAAATGCCTCACATTATAACTACATACAGAACTTTAAAAATAATGCATTAATATAATACATAAAAAGGGTAAAATCTGGATATATTTTTTCAATCAAAATTAGAGTATCCACATTCTATTTCAAGTTGTACACTGGCAGTCCAGCATTTAATGTATTCACAGTTATGATAGAATCCTACACAATATTTGCTGACAACATAGCTTAAAGGGCACTCCACTGACCATAAAAAAAAAACAACCAACCATAAATCCCCCATAAAGATACACTGAAATAAAAGTTCTATCACATATTTCAGAACAATTCCAAACAGATAATTGATACCAAATAAATACTAAGAAGGAAAAGACTAATGACTTATATGTTTAGCCAAATAGTGCAAGCTAGTTAAAATGGAGAAACAAGATCCTAATTTTAATCAAGAGTAGAAGAGTGATTACCAAACTTTAAAAAATAAAAAAAAATAATTCCTACTTGACAACTGACTCCCACTGGAACAATACTGGAACTGTCTCATCTACATCTCATGTATGTACAGAAAACAGCAGCGTGATATACCGATGCTTTAATGAAAGAAAATAACGACCTCTATTTCATAAATTTCTCATTAATATGCTTTTCAAAATTAAATCTCTTGTGGACAAGAACATTAGTTTAATTTACAGAAGAAGAAATTTCTAGATTACATGTATTTGTTCTAGTTACTACTATCACCATCCATCTTAGTGTTCTGTATGACCTGAATGCTTTATTACGCATCTTAAAATGAAAGTGTGAATTTGTCAGTGAGAAGGTTCCCAGCAGAAAAGAAATGGATTTGCTACATTGACAAACACACACCTGGGATATAACTCTGGAAAAAGATGTTGAGATCAGATGAATAATGGGCATAGACTGCTCAATACCAGAGTGTGGAGTCTTGCTTAGTAGTTGAGGTTAAACTAGGTGACCCTGGAAAACCTTTTGGTTTTTATTAAACTTAATAGCATAAATACAGAAAACAAGTTACCCCTAATTTATAGGTCTGAGATAAACCAAACTCCAGTTAGGTAATTTTTTATCAGATTCAGACTACAGAGAACACCCAGAGAAGCCTCTGGTTTGGTGGAACCGATGTGAGCCTCAGCCGCACCCGGGCCATCAGCGGGGCTGTTTGGCCCTGCCAGACATCAAGACAGAGGCACTGCTCTCTTTAGGTCGGGAACGAGAAAAGAGCCGTCACGCCCTCTTTGCCAAAACAGGTCGGTTCCACCCCCACCACGTTACAAGTGTGGAGCTTGGGGTGTCCCCAATTATAAGCCTTTCCCCTCCTTCCTTTACAGGAAAGCGTGATAACGTTTCATTCAGGCTTTACCGTTTCGACAGGATATAACTTGCTCTGTGCATTACATCACCTTCTCAGGGTTTTATCTTCCTTTGATTTTCTTATTAGCCTTATCTGCATGAAAACAAGATCTTTAGCTCTTGAGATTTTTATCTGCTCAAGCAGCTAATGCAGCATATTAATCACAATTCCTGCCTGGGTAGTAGGCATAAAACTACCTACTCCAGAATGGAAATTACTTATTATTTGAAGAATAGCACCTTCATTTAACAGCATCTATTCACTCACTTTCACACTAGATAGTAAATCCTTTTGGAGATGGTTTATCTAGAGGCCAAAGGAGTTGCAGCCTTCTTGGTTGTCGTGGCTTCCTGCAGTGCTCACTGTCCATCCCATAGCGAGGGAGAGGCTGGCCCACCGCTCATTACTCTATTCCTTACCGCTCTATCCAGACTGACCTTTTCAAGGAAAAAAAAAATTTAAAAATCTAGTACTCTTGTTGACAGCAAAGCTTAACTGGGAAATCTCCCTGACGGGACAGAGCAAACTTCAGAACTCTGTGCCTCCTTCCTCAGCCGAACTGTGTGAGAGCAGGGCCACTGTGGCAAGGCATTCCCACGCCCTGACGCCTGGAGTAATACAGAGAGCACAGTTTAAACCTTTTGAGAATTCGGAAAGACAGGCATTGTAGCAACTGGGTGTTACATCTGAATAAACACTGGTAACTCCCAAGCTGGTGTTCCATTTTCTATGGGATGGCATTACTGGACAAGTCAAGCATCAGAGTAACTCTGATCGGTCATTATATTCTCTAGTAGTTCATAGCGCTGGGGTTCAACCCTTTAGGCTTCTTGCCAGATTATATTAGTTCTTTGAAGCTGAATAGTAAGTAACCCAAAATACTTAGTTCAGAAAACCTGAAGCTTTAATTTCTGTAAGTGAAGATTAAACAGCTGGAAAAGGCCTAATAGCCATGCAGCTCAAGCAGGTCAGGGTCTTCCCTTCGTGAATCTAACTTCTGTCTAACCTGAACTTGAACACATCCTTGGCACGTGTTGAAACCATTCTCACAGTTAATTATTTTCTGCCAAGTTTGGCTAGTCCCTTTTTTTTAAAAAAAAATAACATTCATAATTTACAGTAATTATTTACTACATGTGGCATTTTTCTAGCAGGAACATTAAATTCTGGCAAGTTTAAAAGCTTTGTCAATACAAGCAGTCCTAATAGGTATTTCTCTCCTGTGTTGTTCATATTAGTCAACCAAGTAGAAACTTCAGCTCTAACTATGGAAAAATGCGTCAGTAATTCGCAATTTCCTTATCCAGTGCCATTTCATATGTTTTCAGTTGGTGGTCCCTAAAAAAAGCTTAATGATTATTACATCTATTCCAAATCTATTCCAAATAAGATGCAATACCCCTCAGAAGCGGGCATTTACAGGGTCAAAGCCTAAAACACATAAGCAGTATTTTTCAAGTGCAGTGCATTATTAGCCTAGCACACATCATCTACCTCTAGCACAAGAGGGACTTCTTATAATGCTGTATAACAATTTTATTATAAATAAAATCTCTTTTTAAAAG